TGCTGTACTATAACCAGGCAGAGCTACAGCTGAATTTCCCGAGCCCCAGACACTTACTATATCCTCACTGCATTGCCAGCCTGCTCGTTATAAGCTTGCGTTAGCACTTTTTGGTTATGGTTCTGTCAAATCCCAGGCCACTCATGCCTCCCTTGCCCTTGCATGTGTTTTTATAAAGTATTATGATTCTTCCTAATCCTGGGCTTTGTTCCTTTAGAAAAACACTGCAACTCGATCCCTCTCAGTTAATGTCATGGGACTGAGTTCACTCCGACTTGGCTTTAAGCAACTGATGCTCAAAACATCTGGCCCATGTGGGTAGTAGCTGTTCTGGGGAACACGAACGCTACCAGTTATCACAGGTGAGCATGACACCACTCAGCCCCCTGCAGCTCCCACTATCAATGTCCCGTGGAGGTAACCAGAGCTTCAGCCGCTAAACGGCTCTCTCACTCTCCCCCTTTGCTGCCCGGATGGGGAGAAAGCAGAGGAAATTGGAGAATTCCTCTCTGACCGGGCTCAGGTCAAGGTAAAGAATAACAGACCCCACATGCAGTTCTGAGGGCACGGTCTGATCGATAGCCGTGCCACTTAAACGGGTTGAAAATGCCTCTGATGGAAAGGCTTAAAGCCCCTTCCCATAAGCCCAAGTTCTCTTCCAATTCTTTTCTTGCAAGAATGGCAACAGGAAGAGAATTATTGGGGAATTCCTACGTGGTCAATTAGCCAGACCCCCTTCCAGGCTCTTCTGGCACTGGCTTGAGTGACTGATGACTGAGGCCTGCCATATGCCGACTGGGTAAACAGCACCAAAGGACTGGCTGCCACAGTCCGTCAGACAGGGCGAGAGATAAGGAGTGGGGGGAAATAAGAGAGGGTAATGGAGACCAACCGGAAGAAAAAGACAGATGGAAGGAAAGGACGTATTGAGATAATGGCCCAAGACAAACAAACAAGGGCAATAAAGCCAGGAGCCACACCACAAGGACTCCGACGCAGAGTGAAAGGGTGATGGGGTCAGCACTGCCTGAAAGATAAAAGACCTCTGGTCCCCTCCTGTCCCTCTCAGCTCCTTCTGAGAACCACAGAAAGCAGGGACAATCTTCTCTCCTGCCACCAGAGCTCCTCAGGGTTCAAGGAGAACTTTCTCAGCCACAGGAAACCGAGTGAGAGGACACGCCGAAAGTCTGCGTAGAAATCAGAAGACATCAGCTGAAGCACTGGCTGGGAAAGTGGGGCGAGGCTGTACGTGGGATGGCACTGGGTGGTCACTTAGGGGTGCTCACTGCCCTGTCTCCAGTACTCCTTCCTTTCAGCACCAACTTTTGGGAGTATGGAGTTACACATGCGCCTTCCTCCTTCCAAAACCAGGATCTCAGAAGTTTAGGAATGCAGGACTAGAGGGGACCTCCTCAGTTATTAAGTATGATCTCTTGCTATTGCAGGCACCACTTCAAATAATATTTTCCTCAAATGTATAGAGTGCCCTTTTAAAAGTAATTAGGTTTTCAGCCACCATTATTCTGATCACTATTCCGATGATAAAATATCTTTTTCTAATTTCCAGCCTAAACGTACGCACTTTATGCCCATTTGCTATTGTGCCAAATTGCCTTTTGCTTAAAAAGTACTTTTCCTTCCCTATTATTTCTCCCACTAACAGAGACACCAGTCATATCCTCTCTCAGCTTTCACTTTGCAAGGCTAAACATGGCAAGCTCTTCTACCCCGCTTTCTTATGAAAAGATTCCTATCCCTTGGGTCAGAAATAACAAGCCTTTTCTAGTCGGAGGTCATTTTGCTTGGGAATATGAGAACATACAATATTTTAGGGCCTCACGAGAGCTTAACACAATGGCACTGGTATTCCCCCATGTTTTATGAAAAGACTTTCCCTCGTACATTATAGGATATTTACCACCTTCCGAGCCACATTACATCTGCAGCCATCTGCAGCTGACTGCTGTGAACAATTCTTTTCTACTCACTTCCTAATGACTAAAAATGTTTTTCACACAAGACCTCAAATGATGGTCTTAATGTTGTTTCACTGGATGTCATTAGCTGCCGTACAAAATTTGGATTCTCCTCTGCATTCCTAACACCTGCCACCTTTGCATCATCAGCATATTTCATCAGCCCATCCCTAATCCTTGTGCTGAGGCTGAGAAACAAAATTACTAAGTGTTGACCCTGAGTCAAGTCGTTGAAGAACTCTGTTAATTAAGATCAAGATATGTCCTTTAACACAACTTCCTGACATCATTCCTTGAACCAGTTTCTTGTCCACCTCATAGCTGCTGCATTTTTTCCTTATCTTTCCCAATTTAACTAAGTGTTTCCCATGTGGGAAGTACATTAAATGTCTCACAGAAGTTCTGATAAATTAAACCTATCAGATTTATTTTGCTTTTTGGGAAATTAGTGATGTTCCAAATGATTGTGTGATCAATTTTCAGAAATTATTCTCAAATTATCTCCCATTTTGCCTCTTCCTCTGAGATATCCTTTCCCCCAGGTCCTCCTGTAAACGCTGACGAGTTCACGCTGCCTGTGCTGCCGGGCACCAGCTCTTTCAGAGTGCCAGGAAAGAAAGTGGGCAATTCCTGTGACTTGAGAGCTGTATGCTACCCAAGTTTTGTGTCCACCTTGGTGGCAATAATTTCAATTTCCAGCCTTTCTCCTTTGATCCCATGCTAATATATGTCTGAGAGCCAAGAGGAAAGGCTGCACTGGCCAAATACCATCCTGACCAGACAACCCTGGAACCCCTAGCAATGCCATCTCTCAGAGCTGTCCCAGGTCTCATCTCCAGGTCCTTTCATATTCATCTCCTTTCCTGATGTTGAGGACAGAAAAAGACATCTCTGTTGTGCAGCAGACATACAGTGCCTCTCCCCACAAGCCATGTCCCCCAGTCTGACTCGAAGCCCCAGGTAAAGCACTCTTTTGCTTTGGGAACAAAAATTACTCTGTCTTTAGACTCAGCCCCACCTCCACTGACTAGCAGCCTCCTTTCCTCCAATCTCCTCCAATTCACAAAGTTTAAGAAACTTTCATTGTTTATTTTACTACCCTTTGCAAGGTCTGACTCAGCACGACTTTTTACTGTTCTCACTTCATCTTTACACTTCTTGACCTCTACGACAAAGCTTTTTGTTATTTATTTGCTATCAGTTCTTTTTTTTTCCATTCTTAGTAGGCTCTCAGTCTGTTCCTAACAATTTCTCTGTGGTAGTTATTCATTCAGTGAGGTCTGGATATTCTTCCTACAAGCTTTCTCCTCTTGCTTGGCATGCAGAATTGTAATGGCTTTAGCATCTTTGACTTGAAAAAGTTCCAGACCTCCTCCACATCAAGTTCCTCGGCTGAGTTTACGAACCAGCTCTTTCAGTTTATCAGAGTTTGTTCTTTGAAATCCACAGGCTTAATTACACACTAGTTTATACTTCCATTTAATTTAATCTAAAATGACTTGTGTTCATTTAATCTAAGGTTATTTTCTATGGCCATCTGTTCTACAGAGTCTACAAAAACCAAGCTTGAAATAATGTTGTCTTTTGCTGGGCCTTTTGGAAAGCTTTTGTGCAGGTCCTGGGTTAACTGGAGACAGAAATCACCTTGAGAGCTTGGCTATGAAGTCCAAAGAAGCACAGGCACTGTAGCATTCCAAGGACAATTTAAACAGCTTTCTGCACTGCAGTAAAGGCAAGGCAGAACTGGTTTTAGCTCTATCCTTAAAGCAGGACAAAGCTTTCTTCCATCTCAAACTGTATCATCATCTGAAATGACAGCTCAGTTGGATTCTTGCCCCTATAACAAGAATAACAAGATGGGGGTAGTGTTTTACCCACGCTACGGAGCAAGTACCTTCTGACTGTCTCTGGATCTCTCAAGGCAATAGGACTGGCTGTTAAAAAATCTCATAACATATTCACCCCCTATTTTAGACAGGGCATTATTTGTAGTAATCCAAGTTCATGACTCCAGACATGTAACATGTTCAAAGCAAGTAACGCAGAGAAAAACGTCACTTCCAGGCCTCTACTCCGTGGAGGAATGCCTCCCCATTTCTAAGCAAATGCAGACCCCTCTGCCCTTCCAAGCAAAAAAAACCCACCAAACCCTCAGCCCCAAACCAAACCCCACTGAGATCTAGAGCTTTCAAGTCCACAGTTTTCCACCTACTGCAGATTTACCCCAATTTGATTTTGCAAAAGCAGCATGGAGTATTTGCAATGCTTCAACCTGACACACTGATTTCACAATCAAAATACAGAGCAAGTCTTCTTTGGTGACAAAATGAAGCCAAAGAAAATTACATGCAGAAAAGACAGACATATGGGAAAGGGAAAGATAATTCAGTGACAATGAGAAGTAAGAAAGGGCGGAAAATTGATAAGGAAAATAAGGATATTAGCTAAGAATGTGAAAAAGAGCAAGGCTAAGTACACTTAATAGGATTTTTTTAATATGCATTAGAAATAAAACTAACCTTAGAAAAGCTCCCTACTAGGGAAGAACGATAAAAATTTTAAACACCCTGTGGAAAAGGCACAAATGTTCAAGGAGTATTCCTGTTCTGCATTTGGCAAGAGGCAGGATTACACAGTAGTACCAGGTATGAATGACGCTACACCTTCCAGGCTATTAATCACAGGCAGAGGAATTGTGTAAAAAGCAAACGTACAGACACTGAACACATACAAAGGGGTCAACTTCACCTACACTTACAGCATCAGTGAGATCAATACCAGAACCCAGCATGTCATTTTGGTATCCTGTTTCTTAAAGGATACGGGAAAACTGGAAAGGGCACACTAAAGTGACGTGAAAATGATTTGATGGCTCATAAGAACATCTGAAAGTGAGAGAGTCTTCAGTGCTCAAACTAGTTTATCAAGGAAGAGTGCTGAATAATTATAGCAGATAAATAAGTCTATGCAGAGGAAATTCTGATTACTAAGGGGCTTTTTGATCTAGCTGTAAAAGTCAGAAAAAGAACTGATTGGAAGCTGATGCCAGATAAATTCAGATTATAATGAGGCACAGTGTTGAAACAGGGTGATTAATGATGGTAGCATACTACAAAGAGAAGTGATGGATTCTCCATCCCTAGGGTCTCCAGATCAAAACTGTGTGTCTTCTCAGGAAATGTCAGTCACCTAGATGCAAATTATTTCTTTTGCCCAATACCAAGGTAACTGTGCAACACATAAATTTCAGACATAGCCAGGTAGCCCGATTCAATGTTTGCTTCTGGCCTTCTATTCCCAAAAATCTGAATGATGGCAGTAGAAGAGAACTCCACACGCCAACAGATTCTCCTCTTCACCACCAGCCTGTCACTTTGGCAGCTCTGGGAAGCCAGTTTCTGAGATGTAAACCTTCAAACATGACAGCACCTAGTTTATTTGGAAGAGGCTTACATGTTGGCACGTGTGCCATACAGTGTCTCAACAGACCCCAAAACTCACTGGCTCTAGCTGGCAATGGGAGCCTGCCACTGAAAGTGGACTATAGTATCGTCAATATTGTAACAAAAACGCAGAAAATGGGACTGTACACCGTTTCAAGGGAAAACTTGGTATTTAGCTATCTCAAGCCTTCTGAATCTGCCTGTGAGAAAGAGGAAAGGGTCAGCATCCATCTTACCCTGCGACCAGCCTCGTTGTTCTGCAAGTTCATCAGCATGCGAGCCTGCTCCTCCGAACCTCTCACGTAGTTCTTCTCCCTCTCCTTGGCATCCACAAACTCCTTGGCAAAACGATATCCGTACTCCACGTTATCCCCGCAGCCGCCCCACAGCCAGTCTCGGGGCAAGTCCTTGGGCCGGGCGGTCCGGCTGCAGCCACAGCTGGAAAGCTCTCCCTCACGGCAAGCCCGGCTGATGGCGTTCACCACCCCGGCAGCACTCACGGCGTAGGTGAAAGCGGTTTCTCGGCTACCTGCAAGAGACACACGAGAAGCAAATCAACAGGAGACAGATCTCATTTCACCAACGCAACACGCGGCAAGGAGCAAGCAAACGGGCAAACAGGAGGACACGGTGTGCTTGGAGAAGGCGCACAGAGTTGACAGGGAAAAAGGAACGGGGTGGTCGAGCACAAGGGCACCACCTCATTCTGGGAGAGGGGGAACTGTCATAACACATCTTCGCATCCCAGTTTTGTTTTCATTTCATTCAACAGCTCCAGTCACCAGAGCCAGGAAACTCCAGGCCTTGCTGCACAACACGACAGGCAGGGAGTGCTCAAACTCCTTCCCCTGAGAGTGACCCTTCTGTATCCTCTCATTTTAACCTGAAGGGAACTCTCAAGCAGCAAGAGGGTTACTCACTTGCTGAAAATACAGCTGCTGTCTCAGCCACTGAGTCTGCCAATAATCGCTGAGAACGGCTAACGAGGTTGGGTCTGTGCAAAAGAAGCATTCTGGTTGAGCCAGTTATCACTCTGGAACGGTTTTTATTTAATTGGGACAAGCACTCTTTAGGAGTTCATGGATCTTATTGTGGTTAGCTGAGAATTGTTTAGAGACAAACTCAAGGAAACCCATTTTTTACCTTAAAGCATCACAGCAGAGGCTCTCCCAACGCCTACAGAACTGCAGTGCTGGAACAAGTAAATGTCCCATGTAGACAATAGCAAATGAAAAGACTTTCCATTAGCAGGTTTACTAGAGACTGCCCTGCTTGGAGCGTACGCTCTATACAGCTTCGAGTCTAAGTCGAGGAGCTGGATCTGGTCTCCAGCTATGTATTCCTGGCAGCAATTCAGCCCCAATTTGACCAGGGCACCAAGGCAGCCAGAACACTGCATGAGGCCAAGTGTGCTGCACCAGCAAGCGCTGTGGGTCTGAAGGGGGGGAGTAGAGGGGGATGATGAGAAGGAGGCAATCCACACCCGCACTGTCACCACTCGGAGTAATAAATAGCGAAACCGACACCTTCGGAGTCATTGTGTGCATCACCAAGCTTTCAGGTGATAAAGAGAACCACAGCCAAAGCTTCTTTGGAATAAGCAACCTGATCGTGGAAGATCTACTTACACCCAACCCCAGCAAGAGGCGACCCTCGAATGCTCTCAAGCAAATTTGAATAACTTGAGAGGGCAGATCCTCCAGGAACAGTTTGTCACCAACCCACCAGGCTCTCAGTGCCAGCTGCCTCAGCAGGACTGAGCTGATGCTTTTGATATGCTCTTGTTCAAATTTGCATGTGCTGACAATCTGTAATTAATAGCAGCTTATCACCAGCTTAGTGGTAATGACCCAAGACAAAGGCAAGGCTGTGAATGGCATCCTCCTTGCAGAACAATTTGTGATTCCCCCACCCCTGTAATGAGAGTTGTACACTAAGGGCTTCTGCTCCAGAGTACAGCACAAGGCTGATAAAGTGCTCCGGGACACATAATACAGAAGGGGGGCCTTTCCAGCAGGTCACGAGGACTATGCCCCCAAACCTCCCTGATCCAAGAGGTCAAGAGGAGTGACTCCTACTTAAGGTAATTCAGCTGAGACTGGCCCATAAGGGAGCTGTGGTCATTTTGCAGTAACCAAAATCAGGCTCTTACTCATCTAGTTTGCCCTGCACGTTATGGGTGTTTGAAGGTAACCATCCAACGCGCAGTTTTGCCCCTGCCAGTCTGTGCCCGTACAGCGAGAGCCCTGCCCACACGCCAACCGCTCCGTTGAGTAGAGCACTCCCTGCACCTATAGAGATTAAACTACCTACATGGAAAGGACCTCCCGGGGTTACAGCCTGTGCACTTGAGCCCGCATGACTCCAGGTGTTTAGCATCCTCACAGCTTGGTTGAGATCCCTGTCGCTGAAAGCACAGGCTGGATTTACGCTTCCGCTGCCCACGTTCCAACCGCCTTCACGTTTAAGGCGTAGCAGCGCAACGGCTCAACATGCAGCCCCCGGATCTGCATGAGGCGTTTAGGCTGCTGAGGATGGTGAAGCAGGTGACGGGGTGGGTTTTTGTTTTCCCCTCTTGCTGCCCACAGAGCAGAACAAACGACGGTGCTCGTGGTTTTGGAAGACTGCGATTTGGATTGAGAGGCGGGATCAGACGCGTGGGTGAAAGCCAGCGCTAACAGAAAGCAAATTTGTAGATGATAATTGTGGGCTTATACATCCTAGTTTGCTCTCTTACCACGCCTTCCAGCCTTGGGAAAGTATTTGGATTTTCGCTCATCATCTCAAAGATCACTCCAGTTCCGCACCTCTGTGCCGTCACCTCAAAGGACACGGATGTCGTTCTCCAAATTTGTGCAAACGCGAAGTGGGGTTACCGAGACGGTCGGGCTCCAACCCCCCTCCTGCCCTCTCCGGAGCGATGGGTTTGTCACCCCGGGC